GGCATCGGCTGCTTATTTACTCTTGAACATGCATTAGCTGGACCAGCCTGAAAAATACAGTTTTAGTTTGGGCTAAAGATTTATTCGATGTTATTATATTTTGTAATTTTTACGAAAAAATTTGTGTTTCAAGTTAATGTGAGGTTTAATGTTCAAAGGATTTACCAAGATGGCCACCAATTAAACTAGAGTGACAGTCGCGCTCAAGACTATTTTGTAACTAAATTCAGTCTAGTAATGATATTTTCAGTCATTTTTGTGTGTGGTGAGAATGAAGCTCTTTATGCATTGTTCTGCACTGGCCCCGCCCCCTGCCACACATTCTCTTCACGGCTTGGCCCCGCCCCCTTCTGATCATGCAAGTGCTGCAGATTGTTAAGGAGCTGGTGTCGCCCTCTCGCCGCCGCGCCAGTAGCCGATTTGCAGGTGTGTATGTGAAACTGTACAAAAGAGTGTACGTTTGTATGTGTTTGGAGTAACTGAGTCTGACAATATCTTGAAAAGCTTGCGGTTATTTTAGTGGATTCGCTTTAGTGTGTTTGAAAAAGTTGTGTATGTCTGTGTGGATAAGAGGGAAGTCAAGGACAAAGTAAAGACATCTATTTATAAAAGCCGCTTTGTTCTTTTAAAATGTACTCACCTTCATGTTGTTCCTAACTCGCATTATTTTCTTTCTTCTGTGGAACACAAAATTTGCTGTTCTTTAAAAAAAAACACACACATTGTTCGCCAAGACCGATATATTGGTCAATATTTGTAAAAATGTTTCTAATTATCAGCATTGCACAATATGTTTTTCTGTTTGGCTGAAAGGTGTCTGAAGTGGGGCAGTTTTTATTAATTAGAATACGATTTACTAATTTGTTCCATCGGTTTATTAAATTGTGCGACGATTTACAAATTCGTTCCATCATTTTAAGTATTTTGTGTGCTCAATATAATAATTTGTTCCCTTGTTTTTTTTGTAAATTGTGCACACAAAATAATAACTTATGCTCTTGTTTTAAGTAAATTGTGCGTAGGAAAGAATAATTTTTCTACTTCCTGTCCACTTTCTCAATACAGCTTAAAATGATTTCATGCAACGCTGCAAGGCTTTTGAGAATGTCTCTATAACTCATTGCCAACTCAAAATAAAACCCAATTAAAGTGTCTCTGTCCATAACATAGCAGCAACTGGAAGTAGAACAAATTATTATATTGAGCAAA